AAACTAAGAAAAAAAAACACATGCATACCTACATACAATCAGGCGAGGGAACTCCAGGAGAACCCTGCGCTACTCACAACCGCATCACTGGTACTAAAGCCAGCGGAGATTGGTCGAGAGCACTTTAACCACATATACTCATGTCTTGAGTGGAGAATCTGGCCATTGCCAGAACTCCAATTTATACAATAAATTTATTAATTAAAAATAATTATTATTCCATCGAAATAATCCAAAAACAATTTCTTTAGATATTCAAAAACTTGTAACCAATTTATATTTAATCTGACTCTTATGCATATGAACGGAAAAGTATAAGATTTCATATATGCAAGATGGTACATCTCACATCAGCAGGTAAAAATAGGCTGACAGAGTATAACACTATTTAGATTTTAATCTCCTGGTGCATTTATTGATTTTTTTCTGTTTTTATGATGCCGTTGTGAACATTTCAGTAATATTTTTTTTTCTTTTTTTTTTAAATTTATTTATAGAGTATTACAACAATCTCTCTCTTGGACATTGGTTATAGTGAGGTAGGATAACATTCACACTACATGTAAGAAAAATGTGAAATAAATAGAAGCAAAATAATAATCAAAAGTAAGCAGTCTAACCATCTTATCCAAAATGGTTGAAAGTACAGAACTTGTTAACTTGAATTACTTGCACTAGTTTTGTCTCTGGGTCTCATTTATTCTGTAAATTTTATATTCTTTTCTAAAAAAAAAATATTGGAAACCTCTTTGTTTTTTTTTATATACTTCGCTAGTGAAAATAAAAATTATCTAAAAGAATGTGTTTTCACTATACTATGCAATAGGATTAAATAAAGACTCTAGATCAATTTGTAGTGAAAGATAATATTGAAATTACAAATTAAGGAAAAACAAACATGAAAAATGAAAGAAAAAGTTCGAATTCTATAGTTTTACTAACTAAAAGATTTTAGAATTGGTACTTATATGAATGTTTTATTAAACAGAATTTAATATTTATAATTTTGACCAAATAATGGACCAACAGAATTTGAACCAAAATTAATTGACTGCTGATGTTGGGGAAACACATATCGACATAAAAATAATGTTTTTTTTCTTAACTCGACAACTTATGTTTGAATTAAAATTATTATATATACCTAACGGATTGATGGAAGATATTAAAATAAATACATTTAATTTCTACTTGGATTGACAACAATAAATACCTTTAGATATATATAAAATATGCAGCTCGACTTTAATGATTATTTAATATTATATTATATATCTATAATACTATAAAATACTGTAATATTAAAAACTTACTATAATATAATAAAAGTTTGGAACAACACATACACATTATACCTGTTTATATTAGATATAATATTGTTTAGTAATTATTTCACACACTTCATCAACGAAAATGTTTACATATGTTATTTTTACATTTATTATATAGATTTATTTATATTTTTATGAATTATACAAGTGATAGAAAAAGAACGTTCCAAATGAGATTTATTAAATATTTCGAAATATTTAATAACTTAAAATTAAATATCTGAGATCAAAGAAACAAAAATAAGAATATTCACCGATAAATGACCATCTTTTATATCATTTTATTTTATACAATTATAATATGAAATAAAGCACGACTTTGAAAAAGATAAGAAAATATGATAATATTAATAAAAAAACAGTTAAATTAAAATAACAGGCTATGAGTAACAATTTTTTTCGTTATTTGATAAAGTAATACAATGATCAATTCATTCTTCTTAGTTTTTTGTTGAAAATAGACATTATTTTATATTAAATGCATGATGTGCATGTAATTACAGTGATTCATTCTTACAATACTTAAATGATTGTAAGAAATAAATAAATGAAAAATGTCTTAAAGTGTTTCAATTCGTCCAAATTGCTATTGTCCTTAAGAACTTTTAACCACAAAAGAATGATGTTATAAATGATTCTTGAGATTTATTAAATTATTTTTCAAATATTTTGGGAATTCATATTTCATAGTGTTATATGTTTTATTTATTACCACATCCCAACATTATTTTTTATTCATTCAAGTAAACCTAAATGTTGTTATTTTTTTTAACTCGTATACGAACTAATTTTGCTGATAAAATGAATAATATCTGTTTGGATTTTTCGTTCCTAGTCTCTTCCCCGCCCAAAAAAAAAAATAAAATAAAAATAAATAAAATAAAATTTTGCGTAGACCTAACTTTGAACATAAAAATACATATACGGTATTCATTACGAAATTAATTCGACTACATTTGCTACTAGCGTTCATATAATAATACTGACAGAATGTAAGTCAACAAAGCTCAATATAAATTTTGTAAAATAACTGATGAGATTTATTTATCCATAATTTGAAATAAATAATCATCATTATATTTTTTAGTCATAGTGTTGAAGTAACCATATATTTTTCAAATTGTCTTTAATAATTTGGGAATTTTAGACTGCTAATTACTTAAGCGGGTTATTAACTCCTATTTAATGATAGCTAAAAAATTAACTAACAGTATGGAATTAGTGTTGCTTAATTAAATCACTTTCAATTAATAAAATTAAGTAACAAATTAACAGAATTAATTAAATAGATTAATTATACTTTGCTAAATTGTCTCCATATTGAGCATTCATCTGACTTAATGCGGAGATAATTTAGAAAATAGAAGCGATAAACAAAAAAAATGACCTCAATAATTTTGTCTCTTTTTTGCATGTCCTGCTACGATCAGCTACCAGGTCTTACATCGATGATGGGGTAGAAAACGGTATGTAACTAACCGGTTTTACAAATTTTTAAACCCTTAATTGGCCATTAATTAGTTACCTTACCTTAATTAAATCTATTTAATATCATTAATTAATGCATAATATAATTAATGCGATTTTTTTCATTGTCGTATTCTACCCTAACCACCAATTAAAATTTCAACCCCATCCGTTCATTTCATAAAATTATAAGTAATTGTAAATAAATAATTAAATTATCAATAATTACCTAGCTTCGTTATCAAAATTCAATTAGTTCATATATTTTTAGGATTTTCTTATAAATCTAAGAGTATTATATTTTTAGGTAAACATACAAATTATTTGAACTAATCGAGTGCAATTATGATCTATTCTTTATTGTTAGTTGCTTTAGTTTTTTATTAAACCATTTATATCTATGTTCAATATATTTTAAATGTAGAAATGGAAATTTATAAATGTTTAGATGAAGATCTTCATTACGTTATCGAATATTTCTTAGATTCATTGTCTTAAGGGTTCATGATAGCCTTAAAAAAATTCTAAAATATTTAAGTTGAAGGCAATAGTAAAAAAAGTCGTAATTATATTTGATCAAGATCAATAAATCAACTTATTTAGTAAAATTTACAATTAAATAAATATATCATCGAAAATAAATAATATTTTTACAAAACATAACATCCTCAAATAGTTTTAAAGATATTAAATTTAGTTCAAGAAAAAGAATTCAGTAAAATTTTATTTACAAGATGTTAAAATGGACAGTATTTTTTTAAAAATCTGTGAGTTCTAATTTAAAAAAAAAAGAATAGATATTGAAAGAAATAAAGACTATGAGGCATTAAATTAAAGTATAGTGGCTGTATTTATCTGTATATAAAATTATTTATTTTTACTTTTAAAAATTAATTTTGTGAGGAAAGCATTTCCAAAGTTTAAATTTCCATGTGTAAATAATATATAAAGAAATGATCATTGTAATTACTCCGTTGAAGTACACAATATATTAAACGATAAATCATTACAACATATATTTTGTTTTTATTTTTGTAAGTAATTTGCAGATGTAGTTATTTAGTGGTGCCTTTTACCGTAAATTAAAGATAATTGTGAATTTTATATAAAATTATTTTTTTTTTAAATGAACAAATTAAAATGAATTGTTGTATAGCTCTACTGCTCCTTGGATGAAAAGGGTCTAATGTCCACGAATTTGTAATTTGAATGAACAGCGCAAAAATTATGATAAGATGGAGTAGAAGATTACGATATCATCTATTACTATATACATATATTTTATTTTGTGCGTTATATTGGAGGTCTAGGAAAAAAAAAAATCATCGGTTTATTGATAAAAGTCACTAAGTACATTTTTGATGATGGTATGTTTTTACGAATTTCTTTCTCGTTTCAGGGGTACCCATCCCCTCCTCCCCCCAAGGCCGATGTTGCATAAACCTTCCCCCACCCCTTCCAAGATACTTTATTCCTCCCTTCTTCTTTAAAGCAGTTCAAAAGAAAGTAGAATATTCGTAGATTGTATACCATTACACATCCTGCGGTCTGTTCCATGATTCCACTTGTCTTTTGATTTAAAACTTTTCATTTTGAAAATTCTTAACCCCGTCGAAGTGTGACCCCCTCAAAAATTGAAAACTCCGTCAAAATGAGTCCCCTCATCAATTTTGATGGCGCGACTTGCGCCTTTTGGGCACCCCTGTTCATCAGAATGACACAAACCCTTCAATAAATCAAAGATTGTTACATTAGGTGCTTAATGATCCCATTTCGCTGAGAAATTATTCATATAAGTACTTAAAGACTCGATTTTATTGAATGTTACTTAATGACTATTAGTAATAGGAACTTAATGTGTGCTTCAACTGCAAAGTGGCACATGAGTGTCCTAGGTTTGGCAACTGATGGCTGTCAAACAGTAGTGCGACTATCTATTGGTGAAACAGTAGTGAGTAATAATAACTATTAAGGCTACTACTATTATGAACGACTATGACTAAAATAATAATGAGGGGGAAATAATCCCCTTTAGCTAATCCTCTAATCAATACTAGAGAAATAAATTAACTTGAATTTCCAAATATGGACGTAGGCCTTTTCAGTTCCAACTGTAGCTATACATCTTAGTATTTTGTTTTTTTATTATATATCTTTTAATTTAAATTATTAAATAATAATTATTGACTTTTCATGTTGCAGGAATGCATAGAAAGTCCATCGAGGCAGCAGACACGCTGAAAGACGACACGAACTCCCAGACGAGCGTCAAGGACGAAGAGGAAAACGCCTCCGGAGAGAAGAAGATCCCGAGGGAAGAGCAGGAAGAGTTCAGGAACAACAGCATAGCGTGCCTGAGGGCGAAGGCCCAGGAACACAACAAGATGCTGGGCCTGGGAGAGCCGATGATGCAGGGTATTCGCCTCCAAGCGACCGACACCAACGGGAATACTGTCCCGACGGAACAGCACATGTACTAACCGATCACCGGAGGATCTTCGGTGGTGAGGGGATACTGTTGAGACTTGGAGGCCGGAGGATCAGTTTGAGTGTCTTGTGATGAGACGGGCCATAACCGTGTGGTTTTTTTTAAATTTTGAAATATTAAACGCTAGAGGAAAACAAAACATTATTTTATAAAGGATTATTGGCATTCAATTGTTATTGAGAATCTTGCTATAGTACAAGAACTTGAATAAGTTGTTCAATATTTAGATGAAATGGATGGAATAGTTGGAATCACGCTCAATGGTCTGTGGCTTGGTATAGATAGCAAAATCCATCCACTTGCTCATTCCCAAAGAATTTATACAAAAATAGATGATTGGAAATCATCTTCTCTTCTCCGCATCATCCGAATGTGTCAATCCGCCGATTTGTTGTTATTGGTAATAACGGCATTATTAGAATGAGGAAGGATAATAGCAGTACCTCTTCCAGCTCTTTGTTTACTTCATTAAATAGGAAGGGAAAGAAGTTCTTTAACCCAGCTCCTTTTCAGTTGTCTCATGATGGGCATGTCGTTTTGAAGTCTGTTGTTGAGTCCGTGTAGTTTAATATGAAATCGGGTGTAAAGAGTTCGTATATGTTGGTCGATAGTTGGTTGTCGCTATATAAAGTTCTTAAAATTTTGAACTGAAAAGATTGTAGTTTTTCTGGGCCCTTTTTGCTGAACTGTAAATTTGTGAGGCTTATATCAGATAGAGATTAAGTAGGTTATGTGTATGTATTAAGTTTTTGTCTGATTTTCAGTTTTAAATTGAGATATCATTTAATCCAAATGATTCACTTAACTGAGTTTTCTTGAATAACTAATCACTAAGAAAAAAAGAGTCACTTGAGTTAATTTTCTATACCTTTAGCTTGGTATCGAAATACCAAATGTATATTTTGCTCAAGATTTTGGAAGAATGTTTTGAAAATGAAAATTCTTAAGTCTATTTTTCAAATCTCATTTGATAAGATCAATTCAGTGAATTTATTTTTGTTTATTCATTTATATACTTAATCGTGATGGTGCTTTTAAATTATTTCCACAATTCAATTTCTTACGATACTTAACTCTGGCATTAATCCCCCGCCCTCAACCTGGCTCGGGAAAAAACCCACATAGTCTAAAAGACGAAGGAGGGAAGAACAAAAAAAAAAACAAAATAAAACAACTGATTACCAAAATATTTTAAAATTATTGTTAGCTCACGAAATATAATTTGTGACAACTCATTTATATTTCATAATTAGCAGTTCCATTAATCATTGAATGCCATGTAAAAATTGACAAAAAAAAATTAATTAAAATAAATTGACTTCAGACTTCTGCAAAGCAGATTCAGCAAACACTAAAATTAATGTGGAGAGATGTGCTCAAATAGAATGCTTCAAAGTCTCAGATGTAAATCTCATGTAAATATTTTTGAAATTATTTAGTTTATAGACCTTTATTCACTTGAATAAACAATGAATTTTGTATCTGATTGTAAGACTGCGTGTTTCTTTTTATTATATAATAATAAATTTGAAATTTATTCAATTAATGGGACAGTACAATAAGATACCACTCTTTTTTCTTCATTAATATTTTTCAATAGTTTAATTAATATAGATTTAGAGTTTTTTTTTATTATTGTTAGAGAGTATATAATATTTTATTTTCCTTTTTCAATAAGAAAAAATTAATTATGTGTTAACATCAAAGCAACGAAACGGGTTGTGATGTACGATATAAAGCAGTGAATCTAATGTTCTCAATAATTTATTAAATGATTGACAAATAAGTGTAGAGAGGTTTATTGATAATTGAGTTCTCGCGAGATAGCTATTCAATGAATCCACTTTTGTTATTAACCATTAGAAGAATAGACGCCTATTTTAATACAATATAAAATTAAATTAAACATATTAATACTGACGAATGCTTATGATTGGTAGTACATCTGTTTAATGCCTTAGCAAGAATTAAATGAGAAATATATACTTAATCTAGTTCTTTCAAAGTGAAACTGTCGACAAAGTCAAGGACTGAAAAATCGATTGTGATCTCACTATAATTGAACATCGATACAAGTTCGAGATGAATACCTCGAATTTTCCACGAATGTTTGCAACGAAATGAACTTCAAGAACTGAATGCGAGATATTGATCGAAGGCTCAAGGTTTTGAAACATCGACGAAGAATCCACGAACATTTAAAGAACTGATATATTGACATCAGATTCTATAAAAAATGAAAAAAAAAAATATAACTTTTTACAATTATTAATTTTTTTTTTTTTAAATAAATACATAAATTAAAAAAAATCTGTACAAATGATGCAGTCCTGATGTGATTGTATTTCTAATTTATGAATTGTGTAAATAAACTATGTATTATTTTAATTATATAAATAGATATTTAAGGGTGGGTCTTGAAGGGTATTTAATATTTGTGCTATTATATATACATATTATATATATATATAAATATTTCGGTGATATGTAAATTATGTGTGCAATACCTATTGGCTCATGGCATAGGGCCTGTATGTATAGAGGAAAAGTGTATATTCATATAGTGAAATAGTATGTAAATAGTCAAATAATATGTTTATTATATATATATTTTAGAGTCCAGGAAAAAAGTTTTTTTTCTCGATCAACAACGATTCATTTATTTGTTTCTGTAACTTTTGTACTATTTTGTAAAGGGTTCGTCGGGATTATTACCTCAAGGGTGCTTTATGTTGTTATGTGAAATGGTGGTGCTTTTTATTTTAATTTTTTTTTAAATTCCTATCTTGGTCGTGATTTTTTATTTTCAATAATTTTTAATGAAAAATTATTAGATATAATTCTACTATACTTATTTAAAAAAAATAAATAAACAAATAAAAAAAAATTAAAATGGTTTCGGCAAAAGAGAAAATGGTTATTTCATATATTTATTTAGTTCAATGTGCAATAATTTTTCAAATTCAATTCATAATATGATTTGTATTAGTAATGTAAAAATTTTAGTAACTCACTAACTATATTTTTTTCAATTTAATTCATTGTAATTCGTTTTATTGCTAATTTCTCCCTATTTTATAGAAAAATATTTATCGTTTAATTTGTGTTCTCATATGAACGATGATGCTCATTATATGCTTTGATATTGTACTTTCAAAAATATTGTAATAATCGAATGTAAATTTAAAAGGTTTATCAACAGCGTTTTTTGTTTTTGTGGAATTATTTCTTTATTGTATAAATATAGTGAGCTTACGTACTGTAAATACTCAGTTTTAGGCAAGAATGTATTATAAATATATATATTTCGTAATTGGGTTGCAGCCCTTTCTTGCCATGTCTTTTGGTAAAAAAAAATGTAAAACCCCAATATGTATTGTATATGTCAAAATAGATGTTTACCAGATGGGACAAAAATTAATAAAACTATCTAAAATTCAATGTATGTAAATATGATCCCTTTCCTTTCAACATGATTATTATTATTTCAATATATTCCATGCTTAACAGTGTTGTTTTTTAAAATTACAATTTAGAAATAGCATATTTATACAAATGGCGCAACTGAATATAATATAGTCATAATTTGTGTATTATATATATATATATATTTTTCATTGAGAACATTTCTCTCTCTCTCTGTCAATGGGATTTTAGAAGTTGTAAAAATATAAACATAAAAAGCGGTCTCATTTGAAATAATATTGCTTTTCATTAGTAATTCGATCTTTCAAAAGAAAATGTTTTGTTGAAGATATTTCAATTTCAGAAGAAAGACATTAAGATTGTCATGGAAAGTAATATAATTAGCAGTACATGAGAAAAAAAAGTCAAAACTAATAATAGTGCTTAAATAAATTTAAAAAAAGTAATGAGCCAGTACTTTTATATGATAATACTTTTAAAATTGTTTTCTTTCTTTATTTAAAGTTTATCTTGCAAACATAAAGTCTAGCTGGAATATACATTTATTGTATCTATGAGGGGATTGAAGTCACAGTAAAGCTCCATTTTCAAAAAGTCCAGAAGGGCTTAACTATTGAAAGAAAAAGTGACTTCTTCAGTAGTAGTTCATGTAAATAGTTCAGAGATTTTTTTTTACTATATTTCAGTTATTAATGGACCTAAAAAATTGTATTTACTGGTTTGCACAATAGTGTAAGTAACTCTAAAATATTTAAAATAAAGTAAAACATTAGCTTTAATCAAACACAATATTAATATAATCATAATAATAATTATAGCGGATTGCAAAGCTCAAAAGCGGAATGAAAAGATGTGGGAGATAACGTTGAGACCACCATAAGACACGGACTCAATTTATAAAACAATTTTCAACCTTCACACCATCTTGGGTTCAGTTCTTCATAAGGAAGTACTGGTTCTTGGAACTGTTCTTCTTAAACGGTTATTCAAGTACTGGTGGTTTAATCAAGATCAAGCTTGACCGCCGTTTATTATTTTATCAAGATTTACCCTCTTTATTATTTTATTAAGAGTTTGTACTTCATAAGGGCATGGTGTATCCTAGGATGGTCTCATGACCCCAGAGTCAATTAACTGCTGATGAATTGGAATAAATAATTACCTGTGAAAGGCGGACGTTGGAACATTGGAACACGGCACCATACTCACCGATTCATTTCACTCCTATCTATTTATTAAGAAATAAATAATTAATTTTTACAAAAACTGAAGACTATATCAGTTTTTCTCTTTCTAAGGTTGTAAATTGATTTTTATAAATTCATAAATAATGAGGGAAAAAAGTGTGTTATGTCGATAATAACTAAGAAGTTCTTAAATATGAGCTCTAATTTCGATAGTCGGAGTAATGACCATAACTGCAGTTTCCAGCCAAAGCAAAGCATGACGAAGAAACAAGAAAGGAGTTATGAACACTGGACGCTCCACAAACTTCAAGTCCTCATTGAAGAAGTGAGAAACCCTTGAAAACCGGGAAAACACGCTAAAATGGCAGTAGTTTGAAAGATAAGTCGAGATTCTCAATCAATGAATTAGTTAAAAAAAAAAAAAAACATTTCAATCCACTAAATTTATTTGGTGGGGATACAGAGTTGGGCAGATATAAATATATAGACAGCGTTTAATAAACCGATGGCAATATTCAAGGCATCGAATACCCTATTCGAGTGTGCAAAGAAATATTATTCATCAAATCCTAAAATGTTTTGTTATTTTGGAGGAAATAGATATTTTTCTTCTATCACGAAAACAACGTTTATAAAGTAAATGAGTAAAATCATCAAGAGGCAGAAAATCGATGTTGGTTTATAATTGGAAAATTCCAAATACAAAGTGTATGGAAAATTCATATAAAGCTTTATTCTTAATTGTTGAACCGTCAACGTTTCGTCAATTCAGTCAACATCAGAACTGAAAATAAACGAAACGTTGAAAGGTTATTTTATTGTTTAGTAGCATTTTCGAGAGACAAGGCTGTGTGTAGTGTTGCACAAATGCGAGATCGACACGAGTCTTGGTCTTGCAAACTCACACTTGGTCTTGCGCAAGAGTCTCACCAAAGTCTTGTAGTTACTTATTAGCTTATTACTGTAATGTTTTAGATAGAAGAAACCTAACTAAGCCCGAATGAAAAATTAGAGGTGTTTAATGCAAAAGTATATTGGTTATACCAATTATTTACACATAGTAAGTAAGGTTGTCAAGTATTAGTAACTATTTTGCCTTAATTTGTATTAAAAAAATCGATTTTTTTTACTAATCCTGGTCTTGGTCTTGCAGCAGTTAGTCGCCCTTTGTCTTGGTCTTGCACATTGCAAGACCGATTTTGGGCAACAGTAGCTGTGTGGTTGGAATTCTTCAATTATAAACTAACAATACTAAAAATTAAAAACAACATATCATTTTTCTACTGGGGTAAGAAGAATCTGGTTCTAGATTTCTATTCTACTTACGTTCAATATTGTGTTAGGAGTTGTCTATAAAATAGTCATGAATCCATAAGTTACCGATACAATACAATTCCAAAAAAACACATTTACAAAGAATACAATTCCTAAAATATTCCTTGAGACAGCTATCGGTGAAGTTCGGGTTTTATAACGTATTTTGGTGTAATATTTCGGCCCAGTGCAAATTTACAAAAAAATTGAAATATATAACTGATATTTTAACTTTAAATTGATTGTTTTTTTTTTTCGATAACTTAGATTATCTTTAGATGACCAATGGTCGGAAACAGACCAGCGTTTAACGAGCTCAAACAGGGCTTTCTTCTCTCGTTCAAAGGTAATAAAATCCTAAAAAATCTCAAATTGAGGTTGAGCAATGCTATGACATGATTAAGGTGTCAATTACTGGTACATTTACCCTACAAGTTTTAGTCTAATTTTATACCTTAATGGATATTTGATCCTAATATTATGAAAAGTGATACTATATCCTCTATGATATAATATATTGAAGAACATGTACGTTGATTTTATACACATGTAGTGTATAAATAAATAGATTGACATTATACGAGATATATATTTTTAACATGAAATATATTATTGAAGAAATGGATTAATTTAATGCTTTATTACCGACGCATTTTAAAAGCACCAAATTTAACATGCATTTTTTTAAAATGAAATAACCTTCAGCATTGCTTTAATTGAATTTGTATAATAAAAATGAAGTTTTATGTTTTTATTGAACAATATAAAGCTCAATATACGAATAATATAAATAATAACGATTAGTTATTTTTATTATTGTTATTTAATATTTTAAAATAGATAATATACTTCTTTTAATATATTTTTTAGGTTCTTAACCACACTTATAAAACGAATTCTCTTTAACCATATATTGATGGAAAAGTGTTACAAAAATAATTAAAATTAATAACCTACAGAATAATAATAGTGATTTAATTTTATTTTCACCGAATTTTAATAGAAACAATTTAAATTATCTTCTGTCAAATGCATATCTACAAAGATGGTTTACAATTTATGAATCACCTATAGATATGTATTTCATCCAAATAACGAGCTTCAGTTTTTCAATAATAAATAGTTCAGTTTATTGCCGTGACAATAGCAGGAGTAAAAATATATGAATAAGTAGTATAGAAATACATATTTAAGTTTTCTTGTTCCCGTATTGCTGCCAACGAAACCTGTTGGTGTCAAACAGAATTAAAGTTACTCTCTCTTGATACGTGCTGCTACCTTTTGGTCGACTTGATAACTACATTTCTATTTTTTGAACTATTTGTTTTTTCAATATTTATATTTTCCATTTTCCAACTATTTTATATTTATTAGATTCCAAATATATAGTTAATGACGTATGTAATGTTCCCAACTCTAAAATATCTTAATAATAGTGGATTTGAACAAAAAAAAATCAGCGGATTATCTTTGTGTTGGCTCTACTTACTCGCAGATCTTCTGTAAACCAATCAAGCCTTTTCCAACCCTATTTATATACATATTAACAGATACTACATAAATTTTAAACCGTTTTTGTTAATATTTATTTGACAGAAGATGATTCAAATTGTTCATCTTAAAATCCGGTGAAGATAAAATTAAATCACAGCTATTATTCTGTGAGGCCTATCTTGGGCTATTGGTTTCCTGTTTGCTGTATGTAGTTCTGCAGCATCTATGTTGATTTTATCTTCCCATCTTCTTTTTGCCCTACGACACGGCCTCTTGCCGAACTTCTTTTCACTAGCACCACAAACGATAAAGGGTCCTGGTTTCCTCCTACAGCAACTGCAATTCCTCTCTATCCTGTGCCGCTGCCATTCAGTTTGCACCTTCAAATATATTCTGGTGACATGGGATACACCATCTGCCCACCGCAGCCTCCTGTCAACCATTGGGGTATTAATTGTTGTGATGAGGCTGGTTCGAGATGTTTCGTTCATCTTAACCTCATAATCTTCTTATGATGCGACATTGATTGACCATTTCTATAAGTAGTTCTTTATAGGTCGTTCTCCTCTATGCATCAGTACTTCCAGTTTGCTTCATTCATCATGGGAAGTATTTTCCTTTCAAGTCTTTTAATGCTTCATTTATGCTTGCTGGTAAGTGTCCCAGTCTAACAACCATATGCCAGAACTGGCTTGTACACTCTTAATTTGAGATTTTTCGGGATTTCAGTACCTTTGGATAAGAGAATAAAGCTCTGTTTCCATTTAATATACAAATAAACTATTATCAATGCTGACAAAACGATGATCTACATGAATCCAATACATTTCAACTCATAACGAAGTAATTAAGAGTTTAGGGATCTCTTGGATTAGTAATTTGATAATGGACATTTATCCATCTGATCTCAAACACTTATTTATTTCAGAGGAGACAGGTGTGAATGTACAGTGATAGAACATTAATGGCTCCTGATGAACGAAGGAAAAAGTAGCTGAAAATAATACGATATTCAATAACCAAAAAGTGC